AATGGGTGGTTGCCAGAGGGGAGATGGATAAAATAGATGAAGAGGATTAAAAGGTACAAACTTCCAGTTATAAAGTAAGTCCTGGAGATGAAGAGTACAGCATAGGGAATGTAGTCAATAATATTATAACATTGTTCATTGACAGATGGTAACTACACTTACCATGGTGAGCACTGAGTAATGTATAGAATTGTTGAATCAATATGTTGTGCACATGAAACTAATATAATTAGTATGTCAATTTTGCTTAAAAAAGGAGTTGTTTGGGGCACCTGGGTGGCTCAGTTGTTAAGTGTCTGCCCTCGTCTCGGGTCATGATCCCAGGGTCCTGGGACTGAGCCCCGCATCAGGCTCTCTGCTCAGCGGGAAGCCTGCTTCTCCCTCTCCCACTCCCCCTGTTTGTGTTCCCTCTCTCACTGTCTCTCTCTCTGTCAAATAAATGGATAAAATCTTAAAAAAAAGGAGTTGTTTGCCATCCTGTGTAAATTTGCTTAAAATTACTTTTTAAATGTTCCTAAATATTGATTTAAAAAGTCATTGATTTCCCAAAAGTATAATTTACCCTTTTGGAAGTTTTAAACCAATCTCAAAACTTGTAAAATTATTTATTCTACATTACAGAAGGCTTATTTTTTATAAAAAAGATGCCAATATCTGGTATTTCCCTTACTAGTTCTAAAACAAAGAAACTCATTTACTCTGATAACTGAGACAGTCATGACATATATCATCATTCATCTCTTTTCTTGCATGTCTTTCTAAAGAACTTAATATTTTCTTAATTAAATAAAATACAAAGGCTCCAAACTTTTGTTGAGAAATTTAATGAGAACACTAATCATTTTTGGTTGCCAAATGGGAAACCTTTTACAATTGACTTTCACTTTTGAGGGTGAAAGTACTTGTAGTTTTTTTTTTAAGTTTCATAGTAATTATATCCTCAGTATTTGTACATTGAGTTAGGTCTTTCTCAGATTTCCAATGGTAACTAGATTATCTAACTACTGACCATGCTCCTTTGGAGCCAAGTGAGATACATTAACTCTCTTGAGGCTCCAAGAAACCATTTGCTAGGTCATACTTTATGGGAAGTAATGTCCTAAAACATGTAAGAAACAATTAATTTCACATGCATACGCATTAGTCTTTCAGGGGTTATTGCGATCATTTGATTTAATGTAGGAGAAGGACCTTGTGGAATAATCTTGGTCTTGAAGCTGCATCACATTAATTTATTTAAAAAAAGTTTCTATACAAATAGACTTTCATTTGAGTTTGCCAATTATTAGAAGCTTTGTCTAAGATAAACTCATCAATCAACTGTTGAACAATAATGAAAAGGAAAGCATGAGAAGTATAAAAGTATTGATAATACCTTAATGGTATAAGCACTAGTCTATGTCACCAGTAACACCACGTTAGAAGCAGCAATCTATGTAACTAGTCAGTTCTCAATTATTTCTTCATGGGATGAAATTTAATAAAAATGACTTATTCTGTAATGCATTTCTCTTGTGAAATTCTGAGAAGAGAATTGAAAAGCAAACAAATGGAGGGATAATTCAACAACTAATCATGGAATGATAACTAAACTCTGGGTATTACTGTAGGTGCTGGGAACACATGTATCATCTATATTCAGTCATTTATTGATACATTTCTGACTAGTCCCTTAAATTAGGCCATTTATAGGTAAGATGGTATTCACACCATTCCTAAATATTCCCTTAAAGACACAGTATTAGTTATTTTCCCCTGTGCTGAAAATATCTTACACATGTGACATTTTATTTTTCCCCTTAACCATAGATACAACCAGAAAGGCACCAATATGTATGACATTTTCTGTACAGAAAAGTCTCACCAAAATAACCTTTAATATGATGGTTTACAATCACAAAGCAACATTCTTTTTTTTAAAGATTTATTTATTTTAGAGAGAGAGAAAGAGAGTGGAGGGGAGGGGCAGAAGGAGAGGGAGAGAGAAACTTAAGCACTGAGCGAAGAGCCCAAGGCAGGGCTCTATCCCAGGATCCTAAGATCAGGACCTGAGCTGAAACCAAGAGTTGGGCACTCAACCTTACTGTGCCACCCAGGCACCCCACAAAGCAGTGTTCTTAATTTTCTTCTCCCTGGGTACATTTGAAGTTTTTACATTGACTTTTTTGAAAAGCTAAAACAAAAAACAAAACAAAAACAAACAAAACTTGTGTTAAGCAGTCCATTCTTAAGTTTACTATGACAATTAATAGTACTGTTTTACTAATTTTTACTAATTATCTTGTGCTAGGAAATGTTTTTAATGTCTTTTCACAATTTAAGCTGTTCAGTTGTTTTGCTCCCCCTTCAAAGCCTTAATTATTAGTCTATTAAATGTAGTTAAAAATGAAAAGTACAAGATTGGAAAACTACCCAGGTGTTTGTGTTCAAATAGAGATTATCTTTCCTTTATCTTTTCCCCCTTTTTACCAACTAAATTTAGAGTTTTTGACTATTTTGCAGTGTTCTAACATGTTTTAACTGTCCATGGACATATTTTAATTAGTCCTTTATTTATACTGGCTGACTTCTTGAAAATAGTAATTATTTACTATTATTTAAATACTTGAATAATTTCCCAAAATGTGTTAAATGCTTATACTTGAAGATTTTTACCTACTAGAAATCTTTCGTGATTTATACTGAATCAAAGCATTCGTCAAGGTTTTAAGTTAACACTAACACTTCAAGATTATAAATTTAAATAAAAACTGGTAATGGGTAAAAAGGAGTAGAGAGTACGTATGGTAAATAATTACCAAAGTAACTATTTTAAATTTATTTGTTTGCACTGTTTTCATATATTTTAATGATCACAAGGGTATAAAGCAAGTGGGCTCAGAAAATATGAAAAATGATATCCCATTAGTTTTTAGTTTTACTTTTGTCAATTTAAGTAAAGAATATATGTTGAATGTTTTTTCAGAATTTTGATACATATATCAATATAATGTGCATTTAAATTTTTCTAGCAGATTTAAGCTTTTATATGCTATAGATACTTCTTCTCAAGCTCATATAACTCATACTGTTTTAAGCAAGTTAATCACAACATTGTTTATAGATGTAGAAAACACTGAAAAACATAAATCTTATTCAATAATGTGCTACTTAGATAATCTATAGTACATCCATATAATGGAATACTGTGCAGTCACTAAAATGATGATACAGAAAGATATTTACTGACATAAAAAGATTATGTTTTAGTTTAAAATTTAACAAAACAGTACATATAGTAGGTTTTTTGTTTGTTTGTAAAATATTGTGTGTATACATAGGAGAAAAGGCATGGAAGTATATGTATGCATTGAAAACACTAATAGTGGTTATCTCTGACCTGTGGAAATTTTACTTCTTTATAAGTGTCTGCATTGTGTACATTTTTTAAATGAGCATGTATTATGTATATGATCAACAAAAACAGTGATTTCCATTTGAAAATACTTGATAATGAATATAAATGTAATTTGTAGATAAACAATTACACAGAAAGAGATTTTTCCCATTATTTTATGGGCACATAGCTAACAAAATTGTTAACAAAATTATATATTTATATTATATATGTAACCTAAGATTTCTATATAACATAATAAAAGCCAATTAAGAATAGAGACAAAACATCTTCTTATGGTTGGATCTGTGATATGAGTGAATCCTATTTTTAAAAAAGTAATTATTTAAGTTTTACATAAATTAAGTAATAATTTCTCTACTTCCAAAATGGGTTTGAACACCCACATATTAAATGAAAGGCAATCTAAAGAAAACATAAAAGTAAGTATAATATGGATGGAAGGTAAATGGGTGAGGAAAAGAGGGGACTAAAAGTAAAATATGGAAAATCTGTAATCGAGAAATTAGAAATTACAGGCTAAATAATGTAACTGCATTATAGAACAGAACATTTTGTCACAAATTCCAAGCAGCCAGACATAAAGAGAACCATACTGGATTAATAGCTCTCATATAATAGATGGAGGCATATGATTTAATCAAGAGAGACAAGCTTTTCCTTACTTTTGATACATATGTGAATATTACCACAAGGATGTATTAAAAAATTTACAAGAGATAATGACAAGTTTAATATTGAAGATATTCTTCAATGTAGTTTTTCAACATCACTGTATGGATTATTTATCCTTATATTGACACTTTATAGAGGCGGAGGTAAAATTTTAAAATTATCTACAGGTAAAGGCAATTCAGTGCAGTTATTCATCTTTTTCATTATTTTAACATGACCCATCTATACTACTAGTTTAAAAAAAAATGAGTGGCAAGAATGCTCCTTAGACTGTCCTCATATATTAAATCTCTCAGATTTTTAAGATGAAACTCATTTTAATAATGCTTAAAGTGTTAGTTTCCTAAGGTATTGATTGAGAAAACACCAATATGATTATTTCTCTGGGCATGAAGTTAAAGAAAACTCCCAACACTTAGTCAAAGCCACTGCCAACTCTGTGGTATGCCCACAATATATTAGAAAAGGGAAAAAAAAAGTATAAAGAAACTCACATCTCTTTAAAATAACATTCACTTTAAATAATAAGGTAAAATTATGCACAAATGTTAAGTGGATCACATACATTTTCCCCTGCTCTACTGATTTTTCAAAAAGCAAGTAAAAGTTTTATGTGTGATAGATTCAGAAATAATGTCCATTCTGAGAATATTTTCACAGAAGCAATTACATTTAGTATTATAACTGGAATAAGGAAGGAACCTATGTTCAACCAATTACCTTACCTGGACTGGTTTAGGGAAAAAAAACAGTATGTGGAGGGATGAATTTTATTCTACATATTTCTAAGGATATTTTATCAAAAAATAGTATAAAATGACAGTTTTACAATTAGAAATTATGTTCTTCACTTAAATGAACAAGGTTTTCTAGTTTTACTTTTTTTTTTTTCAAAAGAAAGTATTCACTTAAAAAAAATAACCTGGAATAAAATAACCTCTTATCACAAAGTAGCCCAAACTAAGTAGGCACCAGCTTAAGGCTGAAACAAATTGAGCATTCTTATTCTCAACACCTGCGCCTGGCCTGGCCCAGGGTAACATGCAGGGGCTTGGAGCCCACTGTGCGACCATTCATCTCATCCACTGCTTTGGTAGCATCTTCAAAAGAGGAGAAGCAGACAACACCAAACCCTTTGCCTTGCCCTACTTCCACCATCACTTTGGCCCGGCTAATTGATCCAAAGGAAGAAAATTCCTCCTTCAGTTTTTCATCATCGATGGTCTCATCCAGGTTCTTAATATAGATAGGCACCCCCGGAGGCCGACTTTTTTCTTTTAATCTCAGCCGTTCAAATCTTCGTCTTAACTCAGCCAATCGTTCAATTTTCTTCTGTGCTCGCCCTACATATAGAACTTTCCCATTGATGGATTTTCCATGCAGGTCTAATACAGCTTTTTGGGCAGCCTCGTGTGTCTCATACCTCACAAATCCAAAGCCCTTAGATTTCCCACTGGCATCTCTTATTACCTTAACACTCTCAGTTGGCCCATAGCCACTAAAGATTTCCTTCAGTTTTTCGTCATCCATGTCATCTCCAAAGTTTTTAACAAAAACATTGGTGAAAGTTGCTCTATCCCTGGTTCTGACTTCAGCTGCCCGCTCTTCTGGGAATTTGAATCTGCCAACATACACCTGGCGGTTATTAAGCCGCACTCCATTCATGTGCCAGATGGCTCTATTGGCAGCGGCCAGGCTGTCAAAGTGCACATAGGCATAACCCTTAGAGCCATTGTCATCACATACGACTTTGCATGAGAGAATGTTCCCAAAAGCAGAAAATAAATAAAAAAGGGCCCTATTGTCTATGGATTTATCCAGGTTTTTGATGAATATATTTCCAACTCCAGACTTTCTTAAGCGGTCATCTGGCTGAGACCACATGAGGCGGAAAGGTTTGCCATTAATCAAATCAAAATTCATGGTATTCAGGGCCCACTCAGCATCTGCAGGAAAGCGGAAGTTAACATAGCCATAGCCCAGGGGGCTGCGGGTGACAGGGTCACGGCAGATTCGGGTGAAGCGCAGAGGGCCAGCAGGCCTGAACTTTTTATAAAGCATGTCCTCTGTGACATCTGGGTCCAAGTCACCCACGTACAGGGCAGCCTTTAGGTACTTCTTTTTCTTGCCAGCAGGATTAGGCTCTCCACTCCCCATCTTTCTGAGTACAGGGAGGTGGCTCTCTTGGGAGAGAAAAGAAGGCTGAATTCTCTAAGCTATGGGCCAAGCAGCTGTTCACAAACAGAAGAAAGCCAAGGAGAAGGAAGCTAAAAGCAGACTCAGAATCACTGTTGAGGCTGAGAAAATGAAGTTCAGAAACAGCTGGTCAGCAGGTTCAGAACAAACACATCAGACAAAAATGCATCCCAATAACGAATCTGTTCTAAGGGGACTTATAATTTCCACCCATTAAGATTTAAAATCTGTTTCAAAAGCCAGTAGTAAGAAAGAAATTTCCTGTTCCCCATTTAATTGTAAGAAATCATCAAGCAGCTGACTGTCACCCCACATCCAGCATTGCAGACAGAGGCCTCGAGACGAGACCTGTTTTCTGCATAAACATAGGCCTCGAGCTCCTGTTGGCTTAAAATTCTATTAACATGGGCAGGGGCCAAACGTGTATTCCTCCGCCGGCTCCCTGGCCGGTCTCAGGCGGGCTCTCAGCTAACTAAGGCCGCTAAACACACTCAGCGTCAGCAAAAGGGCAGACTAAACACTTGGTGCGCTGGGGCCGGAAGGCAGGCTGCAGACGGCGGATCAGATCGTACAGAAAGACAGACAGACAGACACACGCGCTGGAGACGGGAAACCGCCCAGATACCCCAGATGCCCACCGGGTACGGACCGAGTGACGCGCGGTAATTTCAGCAGTCTGAGACTCGCGGCAGGTCCGGAGGGACTGACTAGCAGACACGCACTGGGTCAGCTCAGGCGGGAGGCGGTTCCGGACAGATGCGGGGCGGAGTCAGAGGAGAAGGGCAGATGCGCAGCGGGCGGGCAGAGCGGGGACCATGGACGTGGATTGCTCTCCGCAGGACAGACCGACCCAAGGACGAAAACCATTTAGCTGTGGTAGGGCGGGCGGGGCGTGAGGAAACCCGGAACCCTGCTAAGTAACTTCCCGCTTCCTCTGTGCCAAGATAAAAAAAAAAAAAAAAAAAAAAAAAAAAGCTTTTTCAATATTTTCTTTATTTTAAAATTTTATGTTTTTATTTATTATCTTAAAATATTAATTTTAGGCTGCTGATCCCAAAATCAAAGCAGGAGGTGGTCACCTAGGCAGAAGGAACTCTCATACTTTTTTTAATAAAAAATAATTCCCAATACTATTTCTGCTTAGGAAATAAGATACAGGGTTGCATACTTTCCTGGGTTAATTGGAAAGTCAGAATTGACAGCTGTACTGGATTCCCATTACAGTGCTAAATGATCACAGGGTCAAATAAAACACAGGGCCATGTTGTGTTTGGCCTTTATCCTTACTCCATTAAACTCCAGCATAATGATCACATTATCCCCAGGTAGTAGGCAGAATTCTTTTCACTGTTCCAGTAAGATTTTAATGACTGGAGAACCATAAAATGGCTTTTTATGATACCTTGTGCCACAAAACGTTGAAAATGTGCTGTCTCCATAATCACATATTACAAAATCTTACTGAAAGAGATAAAAACTGCAGAATCAATACAAAATGTGTGATTAATGTTCACAGATGAAATAAACATGTAAAAATATAGGCACTTTATGCATTAATTACTGATTATTTTTTAAGTTTTTATTTAAATTCCAGTTGGTTAACATACAGTGTTAGTTTCAGGTGTACAATATAGTGAGTGATTTAACACTTCCATACAGCACCTGGTGCTCATCACAAGTGCACTCTTTAATCCCCATCACCAATGTAACCCATCCCCCCAGTCACCTCCCCTCTGGTAATCATCAGTTTGCTCTCTATGGTTAAGAATCTGTTTCTTGGTTTGTCTCCCACTCTTTTTCTTTTCCCCTTTGCTCATTTGTTTTGCTTCTTAAATTCCACATATGAGTGAAATCATATGGTATTTGTCTTTTCCTGACTGACTTACTTCCCTTAGCATAATATTCTCTAGCACCATCCATGTCTTTGCAAATAGCAAGATTTCATTCTTTCTTATGGCTGAGTTATAGTCCATTGTATATACACAATCTTGTGTATGATATATATAATATTCATATATATACATACCACCTCTTCTTTATCCATTCTTCAGTTGATGGACACTTGGGTTATTTCCATAATTTGGCTATTGTAGATAATGCTGCTATAAACTTCGGGGTGCATGTATCCATTTGAATCACTATTTTTGTATTCTTTGGGTAGATACCTAGTAGTACAGTTGCTAGATCATAGGATAGTCCTATATTTAACTTTTTGAGGATCCTGCATACTGTTTTCCAGAGTTTCTGCACCAGTGTGCATTTCCACTAACAGTGCAAGAGGGTTCCTCTTTCTGCACATTTTCACCAACACCTGTTGTTTCCTGTATTGTTGCTTTTAACCATTCTGACAAGTGTGAGTTCATATCTCAATGTAGTTTTGACTTGTATTTCCCTGATGATCAAGGATGTGAGCATTTTCTCATGTGTCTGTTGGCCATCTGTATGTCATCTTTGGAAAAGTTTCTATTCATGTCTTCTGCCCACTTTTAAATTTGATTATTCACTTTTGGGGTGTTGAGTTGTATAAGTTCTTTATATATTTTAGATACTAACCCTTTATCAGATATGTCATTTGCAAATATCTTCTCACATTCCGAAGGTTGCCTTTTAGTTTTGTTGATTGTTTCCTTCACTGTACAGAATCTTTTTATCTTGATGAAGTCCCAGTTGCTTATTTTTGCTTTATTTCCTTTGTCTCAGGAGACATATCTAAAATGAATTTGCTATGGCCTATGTCAAAGAGGTTACTGCCTGTGTTCCCCTTTAGGATTTTTATGATTTCAGGTTTCACATTTAGGTCTTTGATCCATTTTGAATTTATTTTTGTGTATGGTGTAAGAAAATGGTCCAATTTCATTCTTTTGCATATTGCTGTCCAGTTTTCCCACTGTTATTTGTTGAAGAGACTTTTTTTCTATTGGATATTCTTTCCTGCTTTGCTGAAGATTAATTGATCATATAGTTGTGGGTTCATTTCTGGGTTTTCTATTCTGTTCCATTGATCTATGTGTCTATTTTTGTGCCAGTACCATATTGTTTTGATCACTATAGCTTTGTAATATAACTTGAAGTCCAGAATTGTGATGTCTCCAGACTTGCTTTTCTTTTTCAAGATTGCTTTGGCTATTTGGGGTCTTTTGTGGTTCCATGCAAATTTGGGGATTGCTTATTTTAACACTCTGAAAAATGCTGATGGTATTTTGATAGGGATTTCATTAAATGTGAACATTGCTTTGGATAGTATAGACATTTTAACAATATTTGTTCTTCCAATCCATGAGCATGGAGTGTCTTTAATTATGAATTTCAGCATGAGTTTTCAAATTTAAACCATGGCAAGAAACAATGTTATAAGCTTAGACTCAACTCAGGTTTCCCACTATATCTCTCTCCTTAAAGTTTGTGAGAAATTGTTTTGGAAAGGAGTGTTTCCTTCTCTTTGGAAAATCATCAATGTCTGTAACACACAGCTCCTCATCTAGTCCTTTCCACAACCTCTCCCCTCTAAAAGAAAATCCAAACAAAACTTATATCAATACTATTATGCTGGAAAAGATCCTGGCAATAACAAAGAATGCAGGTGAAGGACATCACCCCAAAGGATGTTGTTTTAAGAAGAAATTAATATAATAACAGGCTAAATTCATGTGGTGCTTCATTTTTTACATCTTACATTTTCTATTAGACTGTGTAGCTGACTAAAGATAAAAATTTACCCTCATTATTTACTCAAATATTTAGTAAATTTCTTTATTGAGCTCTTGTGCTTGCTTTATAGGATTCTTAGGTAGGACATGGAGACCATGTGAGAAAGGCAAATACAAACAAAAAATATAATAGAGATAGACTAACAAAAACTAGTATTACAGTATAACCACAGTGACCAACATGTAGAAACACTCGTGAACACCTGCTTAGCTTATTGTATTTTGAAGAAAAAAAACAAAACATCTCTCCTTGTGACTTTAGTTAACAATGGGCTAGAATTTTGGACTGTTTTTCTTTATCTTATTTAAAAATATTATTTTACTGCAAATATTATATTAAAATAACACAAATCCAAGTGGATAATTCCCACAATATTATCACTGAGTCAAATCAATATTTTATTTTTATGTAATCATCTAAATGTTTTCCATATTCCAATTCATTTGTGCATATTTTCTCTAAGATTATAGATATGTTTGGGTTGTTAAAAATAATTATTTTTAAGATAAACTCCTTTCTATACTTATTTGCTATTTTGGGGTCATTAAAGTATAGACATTCTAAACTATAGTGAACTTTTTATTGGGTCAAAAATCAGAAATTTAGAACTGCTTTGAAATGAGTGAATTTTAGTAGTGTTCCCTCTGCTAGATGGATGTTTATGGGAAAAAAAAATTTTTACCTGTAATTTGTTTAATCCTTTTAAAATTTAAATTGAGAAGAATCTGTAAAACAAAAATTAGATATGGAACATTTCTCTATCATTATTATTATATATTCAAGGAAAGTTTAAAGCCTATTATAAATATGATTCATATATGAAATCCATTAAAAATCCCCACCCAGATTCCTAAGGCAATTGGTTGAAGCACATCTGAGGCTTTCCAAATTTGAGAAATATTTTGCATGAGAAAAGAATCCTGAACAACTGGCATTCTAAGTGCATCTCATCACATGTTGTTATTTACAGTTAATAGCAATGTGTCAGCATGCATGGAAGAAAAGGAAAGTTGGGAATTTATTTTTCAGCTTTGTCTTAACAGGCACTTGATTCTATGTTTCCAGTTAAAAGTATCAGCAGTACAAATTGCTGAGACTTCACAATGAAACTAAATTTGCTGCTTTCTTCCTTGCCTGGTACAGTATGGGGGTTGTAAATTGGCATGGAAATTTAAAGCAGGTTCTTGTTGGTGCACAGCACAAATTAGTTATATATGGGAATGGTAGTTTTTCATCTTCAGTTGTCTCTGATGCAGCTTCTACGAAATAATTGTTGTTCTGTTAACTGAATACCACTCTGTAATTGCAAAAAAACAAAAAATGTTGCAGCTGTTTTGTTGACATTCTGAATGCTTCTAAGTAAATACAAATTTTTTTATTAGTATTGTCTTTTTCATAGGTCTGAAAGTTTTCTTCTTGAGCGGAAGCTAGCTAGTCTTTTGCTTTTGCCCATTTTGGATCACATGGATTATAACAGTATTTATATTTTCATATAGTTAGCTGATAAAAAGCTTTTGTCTGCACCCTGCATATTCATGATGAGGGTAATAAAAGTTGAATTGAGACTGTTTTCATCCATAACTGAAACTCAAATCTTGATCGATTGATACCAGATCTCACATAGCCCAGTCACATTTATAAAGTGAAGAGTAACCAGTCTATTCACAGCATTGGATTAGTAGAATCAAACATTTTGAAAAGTCTGTCCTTGAAGGACTAAGGGAAAAGTATGTTCTAATCTTTACATGAGGAGTCTACATTCTTTAACTCCCATTACCATGTAATGGCAGTTATATTTGCAATTCCTTGCAATTCCCACATTAAAGAAGACCTGAAAATGTATCCCCAAAAGTGTGAACTTAAAATACAAGACTGCCATATTAAATTTTTTGTTGACATTAGTCCCAGCAAAGGCTCTGGAAAAACATGCTGGCTGTAAATGTCTTCTCCTATTTATCTGAATATGGATTTCTTAGGAAACTTGACTTTCCATTAAAGGTATTTTTAATTAGTTGGGCCAACTTCTAAAATGTATGCCACATTTAAAATCAGGTATATTTTCCTATATTATAGTTTGTTCCTTTATAAAAGTCAAATAGACCTAAGGGAAGAAGACACATAAAACTTTGTATTTCAGTATGAGTTATCTGATTTGAATTTGATTTTTC